ACGAGGTGCTGGTGGAGGTGAAATGCATGTTAGAGGGTCACATGGGTCAGCACATTGAGATGTTAAGAATCAGTTGTGCGATGCCAGCAAGCAGTGGGCAAAGTTGGTAAGCTGATGATTCTTATTGGCAAGTAGGTAGGTGGGTGATGTTGGCAAGAAAGAGGTCACATCACCAATCAAGTGATAGTGTCTGCAGATAAGTGGGTGGGGCCTCTGGGCAAGTAGGTGATGCCAGTGAGCAGATGGATGGGGCCTGGAGGCAGGTGCGAGGAAGCAAGTGGGTGATGCCTGCAGACAGGTGGGGGATACCGGCAGAAAAGGTATGTGACACACAAGCAGGTGAACTGCATTGGCCGGTGGTACGGAGACTTGGATAAGTAACTGGTTTGTAAGCTGGCACAGACCACTTTGAGTAGGTGGCTTTTTCTGTGAGTTGCATGAGTGGAGGGCTGCAGCTGAGTACCTGGGAGTCTGGGGATGCCTGAACTGGAAAGAGATAGAAAACAGGGTGACTAATTTGGGGAGGGAGGTTCTCATTTCCTTGGGGACCTGCAAGTCATTACGAACCTCCTGAGAGCTGAGCGATCAGGGTACTCTGGTGAGTCTGTGGCACTGTATGAACTTACCTGCCGAGGCTGGAAGGCACTCTGCCATGCTGACAAGCCCATAGGACCCACTATGGGAAGAGTGATGCCACCACTGTCAATGTAGCAATGGCCAGGAATCCGGGGGTTGCTAGAAATTCTTCCCCCTTCCTCACTTCCCTTCTGGTTAAGGGAAGAGGTTGATTTTGTCTCTTATCCAAATATTATATTTTCTTCACCTCTGATTCTGTCTCTAAACCTAGAGGAAATTGTCAATGCCAGTCCTAGGCAGGCAGACGGGTGAGCTGCCCATTTATTTTATCTTCTGAAGGGGTCTGAGCAGGGAGAGCTGATGCCCTCCTAGTTTTCTCAGTCCTCATTTCCAGTCCTGGTTCTTTTGTTTTCTCTTCGGCATTCCAGCCCCGGGTAGTAGGGATAGGACTCATGCCATCTGCATGGACTCTCACAGATTGGATGTCCTTGCTATGGAGTATTTCCCTCCCAGCACCCCACTGAGCCCTTCTCACCCTCCGCCTTCTTCAGCAGGACCCCCTTGCTGCTTCACCACTTACTGAGCGCTCACCACATCTGAGCTCTGTGCTAAGCCATTTACTAACATCACTGCGTTTAAGCCCCACTGGTTGTATTTTACAGAGGAAGAAACTGAAGCTCAAAGGGATTAAGTTGCTTCTCCAAGTTCACCCAACTAGTGAAATCGTAGATCCAGGATTCCAACCTTGGCCCCTCAGATGCAAGTGTTTTCACCAGTTTCATTCAATTGTTTCTTTGCTGATGTTTTCTTCTTCCCAGAAAAAGAAAAAACCAAGCTGCAGAAGCAGAGAGAGGATGAGCTAATCCAGAAGATCCACCGACTGGTGCAGAAGAGAGACTTCCTGGTGGATGATGCAGAGGTCGAGCGGTTAAGGTGAGTGGGCAGCGTGTCCCCAGGGACCAGCTGTTGGTGCACAGCCCTCAGCTTCCTTCCAAACCCATTGTCTGCTCCTGGGACTCACAGCCCTGCCCAACAGGCATGGCCTCGCCAAAGGGTCCCCTAACACTGGATCCAAATGAACCCCAGCCTTCTGGCTTGAGAACCCATTTCACATTCAAGAGAAACTCAAATCCAGCTCCAGCGTCTTGCAAAGGCCTGTGGGTCTTACTTAACTGAATGTCATTCAAGGAAGTGAGCAGGGAGAAATTACATCACATAACATGCAGGTGTGCTTCCTACACATTTTCTCTTCACTGACCTTTCTCTGAACTCATCAAGGCAACTTCTAGAAACTTCTGTTGGTTTCTACAGAAACTCTGCCCCTGTACTGACTTGCTTCCTTGCCTGCCCTGTCCACTTCCCAGCCTTGTTCTTTCCTTTCCTCTCATTGGTGGTTCCGATGCACCTCCTATTTGCAGATGGACCCATCACCTGGTTCTGGACAACCAGGGGCCTGGAGCCACGGTGCACCTGAAAGCTCTGGAGGAGGCTGGGCTCAGGAAACATGAATGTTGATTCTTGAATATTTTTGTCCTGGAGCAAAGCCTTTGGAGCCCTTCCCAAAAAGAGGGGCTCATAGGGCCTCTTTGAACTCAGAGGGCAACTTCCTCTTTATTCTCTGTGTCCTCTTGGGTCATCCAAGGCCCTGGGATGCGCCTTGCCTAGCTCAGCCAGGCATGGCCCACTGTCTTTGCTCCTGGTGATTGTAGGAAGAGATGAGGTGACCTGCCATGTATCTTGTGGAAGCACAGGTGTCTAGGGTGACTTAAAGGTACAGGGTCAGGAGAGGTGTTGCCCAGCTCACTGAACTCTGGAAGGGAGACTGGGTTCGGTAATGTCCTTGCCTCTACCCTGGAGTCTCATCTATGCTTCAGGTAGGCATTTACTCCATCGTTATGTGTCTGCTTCAGAGCAGGTTCATCAAGCACAACATACAAATACCATACACACATAACACAGAAAACATATGCATACCACACATACATAACACACAACACACAACTACCACCCACACATAACACAGAACATACACATATCACCCATATATGACACACAATATACATGTACCACCCATCCATAACATACAACAACATACATGCATCATCCACAAAGCCCATTATATGGCCCACACACGTAACCTCTTGCCTCATTTCCTCAGCTCCTTGATGCTTTCCTTGCTTACTCTACTTTCCTCTTGTCTTTACACATCTGTCTTCACAGGGAACAAGAAGAAGACAAAGAAATGGCTGATTTCCTGAGAATCAAGTTAAAACCTCTAGACAAAGTAACTAAATCTCCAGCCAGTGAGTGCATACATTATTTCTTCTCCTCCCATCCAAGAGGTCATGGTTCGATTCTCAGTCAGGGCACATACCCGGGTTGCAGGCTCGATCCCCAGTAGGGGGCATGCAGGAGGCAACTGATTGGTGCTTCTCTCTCATCATTGATGTTTCTATCTCTCTCTCCCTCTCCCTTCCTCTCTGAAATCAATGAATAAATAAAGTAAAATAAAATAGAATAACAAAAAATGTAAAATCAATGAATTGAGCCACAATGAGAGGAGTCCATAGACTCAACAAAGAGAAAAGAGAATGCCTGTCCTCCCAAGAACTAGAAATAACAGACTATATAAAAGACACAATAAGTATATTTAAAATTATTAAAGAGATAAGAGAAGGACTACAACACAAATGATAGAACAAAATGCTATTAAAAAAGAAAAGGTAGATTTGCAAACACTTGGCTTTCTAAAAAAATATTGTTACAGTACTGAAGTAAAAACTCAGTGGATTAGATACAGAGATACAGTTGATGGGAGGAGTCATAAATTAGAAGATAGAGCTGAGAAAATTACCCAGAATGCAGCACAGAGATAGAAAAGATGAGAACTATGAAAGAGAAGTAATGAAACATGGAAGATAGAATATGAAGGCCAAACTTACATATCATAGACGTTCCAAAAGAAGAGCTAACAGAGACTGAGTGGTAGAAGTATCTGAAACGCTAATGAAGGAAGCATGAGCTCTCAGACTGGAGGTCCTTGGACAAAATCCTCATTTAGTCATTCACCCAACTACTTCTTGAATGCCAGGCCCTGTGATAAGTCTTGGCAGATACAATGGCAGGGAGAACTGAATAGGAGAAGGTTTATAAACTGTGACCAGAAGCTGAGGACCGAAAGCCAGTGGGAATAGTCAGTATGACCATATAAAATGCATGCCAGTTCTCCACATCACCTGAGTTGAAGCAAGGTCTGGCTGGGGGTTGGGATGGGACTGGGGCTGCAGATGGTCAGGGCTCTCCTTACCTCATTTCTCTCTCTCTTCCTTCTTCCCTCTCTTTCTCTGTGCTCCTACCTTGCTGCAGGCTCCCGAGCCGAGAAGAAAGCAGAGCCCCCGCCTAGCAAGCCCACAGTGGCCAAGACCGGGCTGGCACTCATCAAGGATTGCTGTGGGGCCACCCAGTGCAATATCATGTAGCCCCCATGTGGGGTGCCCCCGGGGCCACGGGGACTCCCCCTCCTATCCACTTGTCTTCATAGCCCCCATTTCACCGGGGCCCAGGAGCTCTTAGAGGCGGAAGGGGTTGAAGGCAAGCCAGTGACTGCCGCTGGGGCTGTGGGCGCAGTGGGCGGGCCCAGCCGCCCTGTACAGAGTGTAGCAATAGGGAGTCCCTCACCGTCGCATGGCCCTCCCCAGAGCATGCCGAACCCAGGAGTCTGTCTCACTGTTTATCCAAACCACCAGGAAAGGTCCTTCCTCAAAAAAGTGTATCTCCACTTCTATCTAGCTGTATCTAACCCACCATGCAAATGACTTGGGAGAGGGGCATGATCCCCAGGTGTGTATAGTTGCAACTTTTCAACAATCTTCTAGCACCATGTTGGACACATCCCCCACCGACCCTCCTAGCTCTGCTGTCAGGCCTGCCCCAGGGGCACAGCTCCAGTCTGTCCTTTTCCAGGGCCTGTGTCCTGGAGGGCTCCACACAGCCTACACACCTTGGAGACAGAGGGCCCATCTGTAAAAGTGAGCTTGTGTGTGGTGTCGTGGTCACATCTCCCGCTTCCTCCCCTCCCATGCCTGGGCACGGGTCACACCAGGACCCTGTCCATTCGCTCTTGGTTCTTCCTTCCCTTGCAATGGCTGCCCAGGTATGTGGAGTAGAGGGGATGGGCCTGGGCTGGAACACACCCAGTGCTTGGAAGAGGTAGCAAAACGCCAGAGGCTCCAACACCAAGGCAAGGGAGACAAGCAGGGGACCCCCAAGCAGATGCTGACCCAGGCGCTCTTCCCTACCCCAGGGGCCACAGGAAGGAGTGCCAGAGGACCCCACTCACCAGCCCAACACACAGACCTCTCTAAACTACAGTGGCAGGCGGGAGAGGCGGCCTGACCCAACCGTGTCCCATCATTTGGTGGTGTACTTTAACCAGCCTAGCAAGTCCACCTGTGTAACTTGATGTACATAAGCTACAGCCAGCTCGGCACAGCCCATGTGACCTCTGTACGTGTGTGTTGTGACCGGCCTCAGTAGTTAGCATAACTCAAGATTTGCTGATGTGCAATCATCCATTGAAGAAAATAAAAGTGGAAACCACGTACACAGCACTTTCAAAGTTTTTACTTTTTTCTTGACTATGGAAATAATCCATGTACATAGTAAGTCACTTTAAAAGTATAGAAAGTAGAAAGAATGCTTTGGGTTCCTTTTTTACCTCCCATAATTCCTCCAACTAGAGACTACTCTGACATTTTGGAATATTTCCTTTTTTTTTTAATGCACTAAAAAAATGATTGGCATCCTATGTACCATTTCATAACAAGTTTTCTCTTCTCATTTAGCATTATATTGCAATCATTCTCCCACATCATTAAAAGTTCTTTGTAAGCATTAAATACTCTTCATAAAATATTTACAATGGTTTCTTAGTAATCTTCTGAATATACAATAACTTATCTAATTATTTACTCACTATTAGACATTTAGGCTGTTTCTGGTTTTTCAGTATTATCTACACTATTAAAAGGGAAACATGCTAATTGACCATCCCTCCGCTACGCCTACCAGCCAATCAGGGAAAGTATGCAAATTAACCCAACAAAGTTGGTGGCAGCCATGGAGCTGGAGGCTTGGGTTGCCCCCGGCAACAGAGGAAGCCAAGCTTCCTGCCCGCCCTGGCAGCCGCTCAATGAGTGGCTGGGAGCCTGGGTTGGGGGCGACCCAGGGTTCCAGCCCGCCCTGGCCTCCTTCGGGAGGAGGGGCTGGGGGCCTGGGTCGCCGGGGGGTGTGGCCATCCTGAAAATGGCCCTCAGCCCCTTACCCAGGCTGGCCACGCCCCCATAGAGTAAGAGTCCCCGCTAAGGGGCCTGGCCAGCCTGCAAACAGCCCTCAGCCCCTCACCCAGGCTGGCCAGGCATCCCAGCGGGGACCCCCCACCCTGAAAGGGGCTGTTGGCCAGCCTGAAAAATGGCCCTCAGCCCCCTCACCCCAGGCTTTGCCACACCACCATGGAGTAAGAGTCCCCACTGGGGGGGCCTGGCCAGCCTGCAAACAGCCCCTCAGCCCCTCACCCAGGCTGGGCAACGCCCCCCCCAGCGGGGACCCTTCACCCCCATGGGGGCAAAGGCCGGCCTGCAAAACCACCACAGGCTCCTCGCCCCAGGGTGGCTCCAAAGGGAACCCCCACCCTAATCCCAGGAACCCTTTCAGGGGAAAACTTGCCGGCCCCCACCCTGTTCACAAGGCTCTATTCCTAATAAAAAAGGGGAATATGCTAATTAGACTGGGAGACCTTCCAGGAGACCTTCTGGACGTTCTTCTGGACAAAGCCATGATGGCGGGGCCGAGGTAGAGGCAGTTAGAGGCCAAGAGGGGAGGGCAGTTGTGGGTGATCAGGCCGGTGGGGGGGCCATTGGGGGTGATCAGGCTGACGGGGGGGGCAGTTGGGGTGAGCAGACCAGCAGGGGGGATCAGTTGGGAGTGATCAGGACTGTGGCGGGGGGCAGTTTGGAGTGAGCAGGCCAGCAAGGGGGAAGTTGGGGGTGAGCACACTGGCACGGGGGGCAGTTGGGGGCGAGCAGGCTGGTATGCAGAGTGGTTAGGGGCAATCATGCAGGCAGGCAGGTGAGCAGTTAGGAGCCAGCAGTCCCGGATTGCGAGAGGGATGTCCGACTGCCGGTTTAGGCCCAATCCCTGTAAACCGGCACTAGGACATCCTTCCAGGGGTCCCAGATTGGAGAGGGTGCAGGATGGGCTGAGGGACACCCCCCTCCCGTGCACAAATTTCGTGCACCGGGCCACTAGTAAATAATATTATGATAAACATTCTGGGATAAAGCTTCATCTGAATTTCTGATTTTTCCTTAAGATAATCTCCTAGAAGTGAAGTTCTTAGGCTACTAATGGATCGCATTTAAAGAAATATATTTGTAAATTAAAGGTGGATCTGAACCACTGATCCCACTGGAATTATAAGTCTTTTGCACTGAGTTAGAAAGTCAAACTCAGCTGAAACAAAGGGACAAGACTTCTTTAGCATGTCATTAGTATCTGGGATTAGCCAGATAAACAAAATAAAACAAAAACTCCTTTCATCTATAACATGTCTTATTAGGTAAGGCAAGCTGCAGAAGGGCAAATAAAGAAACACAGCAATCAGAGATATATGAGTAAACCAGCCTATTAAAGAATATTGTTGGGTTTTTTTCTGAGCGAAAAAAAAAAAGTAAATCTGGCCCTAGTTGGTGTGGCTCCATGGTTAGAGCTTCGGCACATGCACACAAGGGTTGTGGGTTCGATTCCCGGTCAAGGGCAGATATCTGGGTTGTAGGTTCAATCCTGACTCCGGTCAGGGCTCGAGCAGGAGGCAACCAATCGATGTGTCTCTCTCACATGGATGTTTCTCTCTCTCTCTCTCTCTCTCACCCCCCTTCAATGGAAAAAATATCTTTGGGTGAGGGTTAATAACAACAGCAACAAGGTAAATCTGAATGTCTGTCAAGTCACAGCAGCTTTGGAGTTGACACAAATCTCTCTAACTGAGGAACCAGAGTCTTGGGCCGATGGCCCCACCCAGTGGGCAGCAAGCCCCTCCCACTCTGTCTTAGATGTGTTTCTGCCTCAGGTCCCAGGTCTGACGTGCACCCACTTCCTGCATCCTGAAGCTGAAGAGACACCACCACCGCCAGTGCCTCCACACTGGCCCTGGGGAACACTGTCCTCCTTCACTGCCATGAAGCCAGACTTAGTGCTTCCTAGGGCTGCCATAACACGTTACCTCATCCAGGGTGTCTTTGAACAACAGAAACTTATGCTCGGTTCTGGAGGCCAGAGTGTAAAATCAAGGTGTCAGCCGGGCCACGCTCCCTCTGAGGCTCTAGGGGAAAGTCCTTCCTGGCCTCTGCCAGCTCCTGGTGGCTCCTGGCAATCCTTGGCTTCATTGCTCCAATCTCTACCTCCGTCTTCACATGGCCTTTGCCTCTGTATGTGTGTCTGTGTCCTCTCCTATTTTTATAAGGACACCAGTCATTGGGTTTAGGTCCCACCCTAAATCCAGGATTATCTCATCTTGATCCTTAATTACTTCTGCAAAGACCCTATTTCCAATAAAGTCACATTCTGAGACAGCAAGTAGACATGAATTTTAGGGGGACACTATTCAACCTACTACACAGATGCTCCTCACTCTTGCAATAGAAACGTGGGCTGCTAAGGGCCCGCCACTCTCCCTTGCCTGTGGAAAATGTGGGTCTGGAAGGCCTGACCTCAGACCAATTAAAGATAGTCACCAATTTAACAAGCCAAAGGAGATCGAAACCCTCATAAAAATCCTGCCTGTAGTACATCTGCAGAACCCTGGGGTAGACCTAACTTATGTTCCTGCTATTCCTATTGATTTTTTTTAAAAACAAAAAACCCCCACCATTTATTTAGGCTTTTACAGAAGAGCAGAAGGAAGTAATAATTTAAGATGCTCCCGGATCACTAGGGCTGCCTGCAAAGCTGGGAAACCTTGCAGACCTCTGGACCCTCACACCCAGCCACACTCCTTCTGGAAGCCAAGGTGGGGTCGGGGTGAGAGGAGGGGGAAGATAATAGCAGGAGAAACATGTGTTGAGAGCTTATTGCTATGCACTGAGCCATGTATCCACATCTTCTCATCTCCTCACCTTAACCCACAGGGAAGACCCTATTATTACTTCCACTTTGCAGATGAGGAAGGTATCCAAGGTCCCATTGGTAGTCAGTGGTGGGATCGCCATTCAGCATCCACCTCCTGTAACCTCAACAGTCCTTTCTTTTCCCATCAGCATTTAAACAAATCTGTTCCATTAAAAAACAAACAAAAAAACAAACAACCCTCCATTCCAGCATCCCTAGCAGCCACCACCTTCTCTTCTCTATATTTTCACGGCCTACTTGAGACTTGTTCATCACCTTACTCCATTTTTCTCATCTCTGCTCCCTCTTCAGCCTATTTTAATCTGGTTTCTGTCACTCTCTTGTCACTGACCCCCTCATCATGGATGTAACCATTTGGTTATATAGAGGAGGAAAAAAATCTTTCTCCTTATCCATCTTAGGTTCTCCAGATGGGACTCTGTAAATGGAGCTGACCAAAGACAGACAAACAAGAGTTAAACAAAGAGAAATTGTTGACTCATGCATGCACAGACACATGCGGGAAGCACCCAGCAATGCGTAACCCAAAGAACTTGGGCTTCTCTACCATCTGAGGCTAAAACAAAGGAAAGGGGGCCCTGGAGACATAGCTCAGTGGTTGAGTGTCGAACCAGGAGGTTACAGTTTGATTTCCGGTCAGGGCATATGCCTAGGTTGGGGGCTCAATCCAGGGGCATGCAGGAGGGAGCCAATCAATGATTCTCTCTCATCATTGATGTTTCTATCTGTCTTTCCCTCTCCCTTCTTCTCTGAAATCAATTTTTAAAATATTTTTAAAATAATAATAAAGGAAAGGGGTTCTGGGGATTCTGGTGGGGAAAGATGGGGGAAGGCGGTGGGTGGGGGAGAGAGACAATGCATAGGTGACTGGGAAAAGTATGGTAGACAAGGGTTGTTTAGTAAGGTTTGTTGTGCAGATTTAAGTCCTACCTTCTCCATTGATAAGAGTCCTCTTCCTGGTATGGGAAAGGGAGACACCTTTTA